AGACACACCAGGGACTGCTGGAGCCACTCAGACTTCAGGAGTCATTTCCCAAGCCCTGTGCATGTGCCTGCCTTGGCTCATAGAGAAGTTTGCCAGAGTTGTGATAACAAGTGTGATAGCAATGTCAGTACATCAGCAGCCTAGCATGCTGTGCCTAATGATAGAGGTTAATTACTAGGGATATATTGCAGTGAGTTATTATGGAAATAGAAATAGATGGAAGAACCTTTGTGCTCCAGTTAAGAGCCATGTGTTTAATGGGGTATTGTGTACCTGCATACAGCTCTGGTCTCAAAGGCCTGTGTATTAGAGAGCTCTTGATATGCTGCACCACTTCCATCTACAGATGCATTTCAGGTTGTTTTGGCCTTTGTCTCCAATTGCTCCCTGCTGTATATACTACACTCATAAGGGAGAAACATAAATGAACTGGATTTGTGAGCATTTATAATCACAAAATTATCTAGGTTAAAAGGGATTTCTGGATATCATCCAGTATGGACCCCTCCAGTGGATGAACACCCAATAAGCTCCTGCTCTAAACATTCAACTGACTCTCTCAAGAAAATGAGGATCATATTTTGCATTTACAGTTGAGTGTTCAAAGTATTGCAATGTGAATGCCACTCTTAGGGAACATTAACTTTGAAAAATCACCTTACCTTTCTGAAAGGCTTTCACACCTCTTACTTTCATAGCCTGAAATCTTTTTCTTTTTTATCAGATTCCAGAAGGGAGGAAAATACATATATTTGATTAAAAGGGAAAGAAAATATTCTCATTTTACTTTCCAAGATATTTTCTTTTAAAAAGTAAATGCAAAGTATGTATCCAGTTCCATTCCTTAAAATCTTCATTTAGAAAGCCTTCCTGATCCAGTTCTACACACTTTTATTGTCTTATTTTCTTTAAAGAATGCTACAGTGAAAAGAGAGCTAGCTTAGCTTTATGTCGTGGCTTTGCTTTTTATGTTACAGGTCATAAAGGAAATTATTTCATTCAAATATAATGCCACAGCAGCTGCATTGCCTTTGCCAAGAAAAAAAAAGGCAAAAAAAAGCTAAAAAAAATAAGCACATCTGTGGCAGATTTAAGCCATCTTCTTTACGCAGTGTTGTAACCAAAGGTTTTTTGGTTACAACACTGTGCAAATCTCATTTGTTTTCTTAAATGTATTTCTTTCCTATTCTTTTAAATGGTCATATTTCTTCTCTGGCCAGCTCCTCTGACATTGTATCAGCACTGATGGAGCTGTTTGGAGGTGGGTGACACAACTGTCACTGCATCAATCTCACCACGAAGCTGTCAATTCCACAGCAGCATTTGGAGCTGAATCAGACAGTTCCAGTGACATGGCAACCACAATGGGTGAAAGACACTTCTATTCCTTTGGATGCGTAGGAGACACTTTCATTTACAGAAAGGACTCAGTGACACTCTTGTTCTGCACACAAGGATTAGTCAGACTCTTCCTGGAAATCAAAGGAAGCTGGTGTCAGTACAAACTCTGCCTCCATCAGGTTTCAGGTGTCCCAGCTGTCCAGCCTAATTGCCCATCACAGTAGAACTTCCAGTGAACAGTTTCACTGAGATTCTGTTCCTTGATTTTATATCTGCACTGTCAACAGTCTTATAAAGACAGGTTTGTTTGTGATTTATAATAAATAAGGTTGTAAGAAAACTAGGCCATTTCTAATAACAGAATGCTCTTGAAAGAACCCCACTTCCCCTCCATATGGAATGGAGCACCCTGCTTATTCATTCTGTCCATTTTCCACTGAATTATCACCTATTCTGATATTTACTTTTTCTTTTTTTTTTTAATTTAAGCTTCATACATTTATAAATCGCATTGGAAAAGGGTCAGGACCTGCTGCTAGCAGATGCATTATCTTTTCTATTCTCAGGCTGGCTGAACTTGGGACAACAGAGTTTTGACCTACGTCAAGAGATGACAGTAGTTAAAAGGAAATAATCAAGGACACTCCTGGTAGAACAAGAAGTCCCTAGATTCTTGGCACAAATTTACACCTTATAATAGCATATTAAGACCTGATAACTATGTTGGTGTGCACTTATATGAGCTGCTTATATGAGTAGCTGCTGTTGTAAGAGAAAGGCACTAACAATGTAAGTAGACTATACAAATAGTGTGTGGAACCACAAAGGAACATTTGAGGTCATCGGCTCCTACAATTATGAGCTCACTTAAGTATCTGGAGATAGAAGTGCACTATTAAACACTTTTGAATTAAAGACTTACTTTGATTAAAGACACACTGCATTGGTCAGGGATAAGTTTTATGGTTATAACAGACATTTGGATTAAATCTTATTATTCTCAAAATATGTTCTTAGAATATGTAATTTTTAAATTTTAACTCTCTGTATAAATACATGAACTTTATGTATTTATGTATTTATGTATACTTTATGTATATAGAATTTTATATAATTCTTATATTGCTACACACTCCATACCAGTGTAAGAATATATATATATGTACATATATAAGCATAGTCTGACAATCAGTAATGATCAGCTTTTGTATGTAGCATCTTTTTCAAAATGCATAGTTGATGTCTCCAAAACTGATTCTGCTCACATATGAAAGCCTTTTTTTTTCTTTGCTACAGTTATTATTTTTATTAATGTCAGGAAATTAAAAAGAGACTGAAAATGCATAGGGTTTTACATCCGAATTCACTTAAAGAATGAGTCACAGAAGTTGTTTTTGGCATGGTGCTTTTACATTTAAGCCCTAGAACATTTCTACTTTACCATCATAAACAGATTTTACCATTCTATATTACTTTAAAGCAATATTCTGTATGAGAGTGAAGAAGTTCTGAACCATGGAGATGATAAAAAACCTATGGAGAAAGGAAATTACAGCATAAGGGAAATGATGGCTGGAGCCATACCATCCAGATCTGTTAGCTCATCCAAACAGAAATGCCAGGCTGAGTTGATTTGGTCAGTGCTTTGGTTGGGACCTCTGAGGAAACCTCCAAGGTTGCTGAAGGAAGTGGTGGCAGCAACTCTGTAGGTGGCATTCTCTGCTCCTGAGTCACCAGTGTGTCAGTGACTGTGATGGAGCCACCGGGATTTCCTGGAAGGGCTGTGGGAATGATGTGAAACCACGGTCGAGAGTATCAGGAATTATTTCATGACCATCATGAATTTCCTATGAGGAGTAGACCTGGTGACCCTGGGTACCTGATCACATTTCAGTATCAGCCTTTCTTTCATCATTTCTCCAAATTGGGGCAGGAGAATAAAACCATTAATGTCATGCCAGGATGATGGAGTACTGAAAAATGTTCAAGCTCCATTATAAGAGACTTTTACTTAAATCCTGTCACTATTTGAATGAGATTTGGATCACATCTAGAGCCCTAAGTACAGAAGGACTAACGTGTTTTTGAAGGAGCCCTTCCCCTTTCATGCCTTTCCCACCTGAGCAATGCTGCCATCGCCTTTCAGCCATAACCACTGACCATTACTCAGAGGTGCTGCCAGGCCCCATGGTGCTCCCAGAGCAGCTCCAGTCCGGACTGTTCTCCTCCCCAACCCCACGGTGCTGTAGTGACACCATGACATCACATTGTCCCCAGAAACAACGACACAAATCTGATTTATAACTGGTGGTAAAACTTTATTATTCAAGTTTAGATGTAACAGACATCTTTGCTGCCTGAAGATTGTTTGCATAAGAAATACACCAAGAACATGTTTGTGAGTAGAAATGAACATGCACTATGAAAACCAAAAAACAAAACAAAACAAAAAAACCTGAAACAAAACAGAACAAAAAACACATCCATGTGTTGTAAGGACAAAACATTAAGAGCCAGCATTCTAGAGTCAAATCAGGGCTACAAGTTTAATGATGGTTTTTAGCAACATGAAGTCATTCTTTATGAAGCAATTTTTTTTTCTTTTTTTTTTTTTTTTCTTTTCCTGCTGGTGAATTTTCTATAAGCTAAATTTACAATGGCATTTTGAGATGTTTCCTTTTCTCCTGTTCTCCTACACAGAGCTCAGAGGCCAAAATGATAGGAATGGAAAACTGTGGTAGCTGTCACAATGTTTTTACCTTACTAAGTGTAATTTTGCTTTCCTAGTCAAGGAATTTTACTAGGTGCAACAAAGAATCAAATGAAACAGGTATTTATCTAGCTGTCAGCCATTTAATTACTGTCTTTTATCCTCTTAAAGTAAATTGGGGTGTGTGTGATTACTGTACAAGTAGCATCCCCCCAACTGTCAGCTTTCCAGAGTTGGCTAAATGAAATAAAAACTGTGAGGAAGAGGGTAGTGAGGAATCCTATTCTGAGGTGAGAAAATTAAGTAAATCATTTTACTTGGCCCATCTTAACTTTAGAGAAAAGTTTAGAAGGGATTTCTTACTTATCCATCACATTTGGGATGTGCTGACAAATTGCTCACTGCTCCTTGCCAAGCATAACTGTCTCCACAGAAGCAGAAGGAAATATATCTACCCTTCTGGCTGCACAGAAGTGACCTTCTAATCTGCTTGGCTTTTCCTGACCAGTATTAGGAATTAGCATGTTAAGTCAGCCAAGAAAAATCAATACAAGAGCAAAAATGAGAATATATTTAGACATACTGGGCAAAAAGCACATGGTAGACAACATCCTTAGCACATAAAGCAAGTAGTTATGACTACAAAACAACAGTGTCCAGTCCAAGGGTGGACTTGAAAGTCTGTCCCTGAACTGAGTACTAATCCACAGTTGCCAAATCAGTTTTTCCCATTGCGCAATCACTGTGTTTCAGCACTGGATACAATTAGCATCAGTCACTTGTCCTGCTGCCCCTCTAACTGCAAAAATAATCTATTGCTCACAGTGTGTCTCAACCTTTGGAGATGTCTCAATTTTCTCTCCCTTTAAAACTGTCACAATGGACAACAGTGCCTTTTAAAAACCAAGATATCTGCATCCAGTGTCCTTCCCCCTTTCTCCATAGTCCATTAAAAATTAAGGGAGGAGTTTCATCAGCATGGTGGCAATTAGGTGCAGCACTTCATTTGGAAAGCAGACTGAATTTGGCACCTGAACACAAACTGTGCTCTGGAACATCATCTCCTGCAGCACTGAGGGGGCAGCAGCCATGAAGTGACAGCCTAGGACAATCTGGTTTGCAGATGACATCACAGGATGGCTCCATCTATACAGAGAGTTACTGGAAACACTGTGCCTGTTCCACAATCTGGTTAGTGACAGGCACCACAAATCCTCTAGTTTTGAAACATCTACTTATTTGGTTGTCCAATTTGAGATATGTTTTAAGATCTTACACTACTATTCCTTTAGTAAGAGAAGTTCACCACCTTGAAGCCACTGACAAATTGAGAACAAAGACTGATTGTTTGAAAGTTCAATTTTTAGTGCTGTAAGTTGACTGAAACACAGTGGGTGCAGTAATTACTTGTGTGTGCTAACATTGGTTTCCATCTGAAAGTTATTAAATAAGATTATTCTTTTCCTGTGTCAGGATTTTTTTTCTTTTTATTAGTACCCATTGTGAGGGGGTCTGGAAGATGGATGGAGTCACCTCTCTTTTGTTAAGAAAGAAAACTGTGGTCCCCCTATCCCAATCAAAAAGAACAGGCTACAGCAAAATCCCATTTCTTAAAAAGCAGAAATCTTAGAACATCTCAACATGTCATGGCAAGAACAATGAACTTTTTTCCAAATTTTATTTGCATCGTCTAGGTGTGCAATAGTAACATTCAAAGCTCTGTCTTGTTCTTTGCAGTCATAAGATTTCATTTCTCCTCATCCCCAAACCCTGATATGTGTATTTCCTGTTGATTTGCCTCTGCTTCTGAGTTTAGCGAGAAGTGTTCTGAAGTTCAGGGTAGTGCTCAAGTTTTACAATGCACATGTCCCTCTAAAATATTTTGCCATGAAGATGCAGCTTCTATCAATGAAGAAGCCAGAGGGACTGGTAGGTCTGAAGTCAAACCAGTAACTACTGAGAATCGGCAGGCAGCTGCCTTTGAAGGCGATAAAAATCACTGCTTACTGAGTATAACATCTTCCTTGGAAAAGCTGAAAAGGACACACACTGGACCCTGACGTAACGAAACGAGGGCAATCTATTTCAGTCCCCACAGAAAAAAAAAAAAAGGAAACAGAAAATACCCAACAAAAATAAATCCACAAAAACCAAGTCAGAACTTATTATTGGAGAACAATAGTAAAAACATAACCAGACTTTGTCACTGGTATCAAGCTGGAGATTCATCTAAAAAATAGAAGAAGAAGAATGTGGCCCAACATCCTTTGCTAACCTAGAACACTACTGAAGGGTTACAGAACTCAACCACAGCAGATTGAGTGGGATGTTCCATATGCTGCTCACCAGTAAAGAAGCAATGGGTGGAGCAGGAAGGAATGCAGCCTAATGCTGAACAATAGCCTGTCTGTGCCTAACAAATCAGAGAAACTGTGCAATAATGTTTCACCTCCGTGAAAATACAACATCTAAATACTGCCAAGGTCAGTGAGACCTTTGGTGATCAACTGTGTAAGTGCCTCTCACGCTTGTTTGCTGCCAGCTGCTTTAGGCACATTATTTCTCAAAAGACTATCAAAGTGCTGAATGTTTAGGCCAGTTCCCTCCTGGTTTTCCTTTTGCCAACCCCTATAAGACATTTCCTATCACCTCTCCTTTTATTTTCCACCTCCCTGATTATCTGGTTAAGTATCTTAGTAAGTGCACCAAATACAAGAAGGGAGAGTGGTGAGACTCAGGTAAGTTAAATACAAGAACTTTTTTTTTTTTTTATGATGCTTTAGTTCAATTACATGAAAATCTGAGAAAGGCGGCATGTAAGTGAGATCAGAATAGGACCCTTTACATATAATCTCAAGAGAGGACTTAGTCCAGAGATATTTTTATAGAACATTTTAAAAAATAAAATGCATGAATGGAGAAATAAAAGACAACATAATATCAGAAAGACATTTTAAACTTCATTCGCTGCAACATTCATGAACCAGTTGAGCTACACCTGCCATCCAACCATAAGGAACTAAGACCCTGCACTGCGAAAAAGAAACAAACCCAAACAAAACAAAAAAGCAACTGCGTAATATTGTAAAAATGGAGTGCAATGCTACTACAGAATGCAATAAAATATCAGTGCTGCATCGTCAAACAGCACTTATCAAAATAATTTCTGAAATGTTTCTTCTGAAACACAGACAAAGCAATAAAAAGAGGATATATGTTTATCATTTTAAGCATAACAATGTGAGTTAAGAGCTTAAGAATACAAAAGTACTTGGAATGAATAGTGCTACCCTTTTTTCCTAAGTAGGCATAAAAATATTTTCATTTCCTTCTTGTTTTTCATACCATTAATATCAACAAATTTCATTCATTTCATGTTATCGTTTACAACTTTAATGCACACACACAGAAAAAAAGATACCTACTGCAATAGAAATAGTTGCTTCATTACCTTGTTTGCTACATTTGCAAATGTAAACAGCGAGGCAGAGCCAGAACTGACTCTAATGCATGATGGAATATCTTTGTTGCATACGTACACTGTAGAAAATAATTATTCAATATGTCAGGCACCATTATTTGAAATGTAATACATTAATATTTACTAGAAAAATAAGGTTTTTTTCTATTTGTTCTCCCAACTTCTTTAATGAAATAAGTTAATCTGACAGTGCATCCAGTAGCTTGTAATATCTTCTACATCCCTGTGGCAAAATAATAAACTACTGGTTGGGACACTATAATGAAAATGATTAAAGTCAGTTCTTGTACACCCTTGTAGCAAGCATGGAGGCTCGTCTAACAGCACCTTTAACCAATTATTTAATATTTAGTTATTTAGCCCTATTTCCCTGAGCAGTTATGCTGAGGAGCTTTCCCTTCATGGATAGTTTTTAAAAAGCTTTAACTATTAAAAAGTACTATGAAGACATTTAATGCTACTTAGCAAAAGCTGGTATAAGTCTACTGAAGGGATTGACTGGTATGTATAGCAATGTTAAGCCTGTGGAGAAGTAACCTTAGACTTTAAGGTTTAGAAATGTAATATATTAAAAATATATTAAAATAAAATACAGCAGGTTACCTTATTCTATGCAAATTAAACCTGGAATGTGGCTTCTGTATTAGAGAATTCACTTGCACAAAATGGTTTTCCTAGACTAAAGTGTGCCAGAAAGAATGTAGTGATAAAATGGTAGCTAAAAATCAGCTGAGTCTGAGAAACATATATATGACATTGCTGCCAAAGCTTTGAGGACAATGTGATCCTAAGGCATGTTGTAGGGCAGAAATTTGCCCAAATTAAAGAAAAGAAAATGACCTTTTAACTCTGTATACTTAACATGTCTAGTTCTTATATACAATGTGCATATGTTCACTACACCCCTGCAGCAGTATATACATATACACATCTTTGCACACTTGCCAGTTATGTCTCTTACACAACAGCAAAGGTATTAATTGTCCAGTAAAATTTTCTCAAGGTTATTCGGCATGATTCACTGCATTCTGGCTAGCTTTGGTGGGCCATGTCCCACTGCATTATCTTCCTCCCCTTCTGGCCACCATCCAACTGTTCTTTTTTCTTGGTAACCCACTCATTTAAAAAAGAAAAAAAAAGAAAAAATAAAGGGGAAAAAAAGGAAAAAATAAAGAATAAAAAGGAAAAAAAAAAGAAAATAACAAGGGATTTAATATTGGATAAGGCATGCTCTCTATATGAAGTGCTTTATGGGTCTTCACAAGACATTACAAGCTATTGAATTCCCATCAAGGAAACCTATTTCTGTTTAATTGTGCTAAGTGCTAAGGTTTACTCTTTAGGTTTTCCATTCTTTTCAGCTTGTGCATTGTTCCTGTGTAGGCCCCTCTGGATGTGAGTTGTGAAGTCATACTTGTCCGTGCAAAGATGCTGGCAAATGCTGCACTGGAAAGGTCCACTGTCACCATGGCAACTCATATGCAATGCATACATCACTTCATCCAGAAAGACAATGCCACAGTGCACACACTTGGTAGAAAGTTCATCTTGGGTACTTCTATCAACTTTCTCTGTTTTTACTACATTCAAGGGACCTTCATTTTTTACATTTGGTGGTGCCTTACTCTTTTCCTTGGAGGCACCATTTGCAGTTGGCCCAGGTCTGGAATGCTTTATCGCCAAATCTAGAGGAATGTCATTGTCTGATCCGACAGCTGAAAAATGAGGAGGCAGATTAAAGGTGGGATAAGGCACATAGTTTTGGCAAGGATTTGGTAGGCCAGGCACATGACTCAAGTAGTGTGGATTCCCAGGAACAGACAGCTTATATTTACTCCAGAATCTCAGCCAGTCAGCTTCACTCTGAAAGTCATTGTGTACAAACGGAAGTCCAAAGAGTGGGTACTGGTATTTTTCAATAGGGCTTCCAGGTGGAGAATAGTTTGGATGTTTCACAGGTCTCATGTATTTTTCTATTGGGCTGCCTCTCTCTGAGCTTCCTTTCCCTTCTGATATCGATGAACTGTTTCCTGGGTCTCCAGTACTTTCCTGAGGACTTTTTATCTGAATGTGCAAAGGTTGCATCCTTTTGTGAATATCCAGAGTTTGGCTGACCAATATTGGCTGCTGAGCAGAATGGCTTTTAGTCAATGAACCTGGGGCCTCGTATTTACTGAGGCTGGGAAGCTGAATTTCTCTCTGATGACCTTCAGGTAAATGATCCTCTGACCTCCTCTCTAAGGGGCTTCCATTGACTTGCTCCTCACTGCTACCCCTCTGCTGTTTGTTTAGCTGCTCAGCCTGAAGTGCCTCCGGGTTAAGGCGCTTTCTTGTTCGTCTCCTAATGATCTGTTCACCATTGTTCTGTTTAATGATGTTTAAAGGCCTGGGAGTCTGCATGGAACACATAGAGAATGAACAAAAGGAAAAAAGAAAGACACATTAAACAAATCTGTGAGACCACGCTCGTGCAAATTTATCTTTTCTTTTGTGAAGAGCTGTATTACAACAGTGTTACGGGAATGACCAAATTTCAATCCAAATGCTGGTTCACTGCCCCTCATGCTGAAAGTAAACTATAAAATGGCTTATTTTATCAACCTGAGTCAACTGCCTTAGACATCCTGTACCTATTTACTTAAAAAGGCATGAAGTATCCAAGCTGTCAAACCATTTATTACCTGTTACTCCTAAAAAATTCTGGGGGAGACATGTTGAAAGTGGGTGCTGAGAGCTAGGGGTGAGGCAGGAGATGCAAGGCCCTGTGCACTGGTGCTGCTCTGGGCACCATGCCACCAGAGCTTGCAGGGTTTGCACAGCTCCCACTGGGACAAGAACTTACCTTCATACTCACCCTGCTCTCACAGGGACAGAAAACACAGGCACACACAGGGCTTGCTGACCACCACTGCTGTCACACAGCAAAAGGGCTGCAGGTCCACTGTGTGCTGAGTGGGAAGATGGTGGCCAGAAAGGGGCCAAGAAAGATGGAGAAGAAAGCCCAGGGAAACTGTGCACCAAGAGGTGTACCTCTTCTTTGGTATCAACTCCCCCTCCTTCACCCCAGCTGCATTGCTTTCTAAGTGTTACTGATGTGCTACTAAGTCATGAGAGAGAGAAGGCATGGGGCAAAAGGAATCCGTAAAGAAAAAAGCATCACAAAGAGGCAGAGGGAAGAACCAAGTGGGGACTTCTGTTTCCATTTGCTACTACCCCACAACAGTTAAGTGGCCTTTTTAGAGAAGAAGTGAAAATATCTTTGTGTGGGGAAAAAAACATGGTACAAGGAAGGACAGCAGTTAGGTTTCCTTTAAACACCCCCCAAGAGAAAAGCAATAGCATCTGAGTGAAAAATGGTGCTGCACCATCAGTACGTTTTTCTACTGAACAAAAACTACCTAAAAGTCATTCAATTTGGTGTGTTGGGAGCTGACATTTTTCTTCCAAAAGGCACATAATCCCATTTTGGTTGGAGGCCATAAAAGTGCCACCCTGCCCCAGGATTCTACTCATATGTTTATTTGGAAATTTTAACATTGTTTTTAAAAGCAGATTTAATTTTGGCTTACAGTCAATATCCAAAGTAATCTTGAGTACCTTGAATGTAACTAAATTTTTAATATATTTGTAACTTCAAGCTAATATGAAAACATCCAGAGCTGGAAGAACACCCATTCTATTATTTGCAGAGATTTAATCTCTCTCTTCAGTTGCCATTTTCCTCTCCTTTCACTTATTTATTTTCCTGCAATTGGCATACTCTTAATGGTTAATTACATTTTAGACAGTGCAGCTATTTTTTAAGATTTTACTTTCTGTTAAAATACCGAATCAGAAGTATATACACACTTTGATTTAGATTTTTAAATAAGAGAAATTGAAACTTGGTAGAAAAACAGCACCTGAACCAGCCTCCTCACACAGATCAAAGTTAAAACAAAATCGTCTTAAAAAATTACAATATTTTTAATGTAAATTCTATTCAGATAAAGATAATAGTTTGACCAATCAATAGCAAGTTAATATGCATAGACATGTACTTTTCATTATAAGATCTGTATAATTTCCTTGCCTTTTTATGACAATTGTAACTCAGATACTGTGTGAGATCTTACAATGTTGTTGCTCCTATTAAACACTAAACACTACAGACCATTTTTATATGGCTTCCAGACAACTCTCCAGTATTTTGGAGATACTTTTACCCTTACTCTTCATGCTACAGGTAGAAAGCCTGATTATGGAAGCAGCTGAAAGAAACATCTTCCTGCCTGAGATTAGGGACCCTCATACACTTATACTTGAGGCTCCAGCTATTCAAAGTTATTGCAGGTTCAACTTTAAAATTCTTCAGCTTGCCAATGACTGTGCTCATCTGATTAAACCAGCCCTCAGATGATTAAAATGCACTCTTTAGTGGTGGAAATCTACTAATTTTCCTTATTTGTAGTAGTAAGGTGCAGATAAAAATATCTTGTATTTGGTTACAACCAAGGCAAATAGAAAATTTTAAGGTCACTTCTTGATTTTCAGTGGGGCATTAAATTTAGAATATAGTGGAAACATTACCAGAACTTTACTTTTAAAATGGTCTATGTCAGATCCTTAATTATATGTTAGACATAATGAAGATGATCACAAATATTTCTGCCATCTCTGTATCAGCTGACAATCTCCCCAATCCAATAATATGAGTAACTGAAAAAAATAAAAAATTCAACAAATGCTTCAATAAATTATTGTGATTAGATTTCTCAAATTCCATGTGAAAGTGGAGCCTCCTCTAGACTAATCCTAGAATATGCTGCAATTCTTTACTGAATTAGTCTAAGGATGTTGTCAAGGAATCACCATGGAACAAAATGTAGTGTTCCATGACAAAATTCGAGCTGTTTAAAAATGAAGGACAGCACCACAATAATAATGGTCAAATTCATGACTCTGGGGAGACAGCAAATGTGACTATTCTGTATATGTTTGCAGTAAGATGCATTTTTTCACTAAAACTATTTTAATAATAGACTCGTGGATTATAATTACAATTTTAAAACATATTTGATTGCGTTAAAGGAGAGAAATGTGAAAAACGTGGCAAGTTTAATGTCAACTACCCCTTAGATAGATGGAACATCTTTGAAAACACACTGAAAAGTTATTCAAGGGTATAATAGAAATAGAAATGCAACTTGCAGCAGAAATCACTACCATGTTAATATCTGTCAGTCACTATCACCTAGTAGTATCTGATAGATCAGAGATTTTTCTTCTCATTAAATGAAAGTGAAAAAGGGACCTTAAGCTTGCATTAATGAGGATGGTAGTCCTAGATAGTAATTATCCAATCAAAAGGGAGCTAAGAAATGTGCAAATTAATACAGGTGAGTTTTACTCAGCGGTGTAGTACAATTTAGATGACCAGGCGTCTTACAGAAGTAAATTCTATTCACTTGATTTTTTACAGTTTTGGACATTTCCTTAATAACTGCACCATCCTGGACGCCTTAATTCAAAACCATATGTCCAATACATGACCCACACTGCAATTTTTCCTGAACAGACAGACAGGCAGACAGATAAAAGAAACTTTCATCTTTCTGGTGTCCATCTAAAGAGCATCCATTTCCATGGGACTGTCTCAAAAGTTGTCCCAAAGGAGAGATTTGTTGGATTATTTCAGACTCCTACGTATAAAGGAGTTGCTATCATACCACAGCAGAGTAAGGCTTAATTAAATTCTTTTAATTTGTTAGGTCAAAGTTCAACTGAAGATATTAATGTCAAATGTCCACTGAATGGCAGCTTATTGTCATGCTTAAAATGTCAGCTTCTTGCTTTTGAGATGCATAAAACAAACTTTGACACTGTATTTCTAATAAATGATACTGGAAGTGCACTAGTTCATTCCTACTAGTTCATAAGGATGATCCAAGTTGTGCTTGAATTCAAAACTGATTATTGTAGCTTTTATCTATTTAAAAAGAAATGTTGAAAATCATGGTAGGATCCAACACTACAGCTGAGAAAATTGTACTTAAAAAATGGAAAATAAGAGTCTGCAAATGGAATTTCAACAAATAACCAGACTCAAATGACAAATAAAAAAGCCAATGTACCCTTCTTAAAATCTTTCTGGATGTTCACCACTGATCAATTTCCTTAAATTAGATATTCTATCTACAACTTTAAGAGGTGTCCAGGAAGATGATACCTGGAGCAAGACCCAACCAAGATGCTGGCCAAGACCATGCATTAGTTCATCTTCTTAGATATTACTGGCCTGACTGGGCTATTCTGGGCCTTAAAAACACTGAGTGACCCCAGAATGACACATATGTCAAACAGAGCCAACCCTTCACACTGGTAATGGTCATGCTGCTTTTAAAATGGTAATTTTTACATTGTTCTAGTTAGTGGGCTGGTTTGGCAGGATTTTGTGTAAACAGGATTATTGTATGGGCAGTAGACAAGACCACTGAGAAGCTTACCTTTCAAATTTAATTTCTGCAAAACATTTTATAAAATGTACACTCAGTCACCACGTTTATTTCTCAGTTAGGCTCTAAGCCTGATCTGATACATTGCCCTGGCAAACTCCCAAAGACTACCTCGGTTTCCATTTCTGAATAATAGTAACACTTTTTAATTTCATAGGAATGTTGTAAAAATTAATTAATTAGTCACCTGACTCTCCTATGTGTGCCTATTAAAGACAGCAAGGATAATATTTAACCAGTGGGTCTTAACCTAAAAGATTCCAGGCATTTTGGCACTGATCCAAGGAAACACTTCAGCATGGCTTTCCTGGACCTGGACCAGAGTATCCAACATCTTTCAGGATCAAGTCAAGTGTCAATAAGATGAAAAGCAATATAGACAGACCATGATTATTATTTATTCCCTGACTGATCCTGAGGGATGGTGAATCTTCCCCTCACCAAGTGATGAGTGCCTTCAAGTGAATAGCTTCCTTGCCGAGATATTTATCTTCCAGCAGACTTTAAGAACTGTAGAAAAAAGAACGCAAAATCCCACCTCCCCATATCTCTGGGAAATTTACTATCTAGAATAAAGGAGGTAAGAGATGTCAAAGTATACAAAAACTGTTTCAACTGTTTCAAGAGATATTTTAATATAGATGTGATGTCTAATTTCAATAATTTTGGTTTTTCTAGGACTGTAGAATTTAGAGAGCTTTCATCACAATATATCATATGCCTTGAAAACCAATTCCCAGAAAAGAAATAATTTTCCCCTTATTTTGTATCAAAATAATTAAATGCATCACTGGTGATCTCAAACACATCCACTCACAGCATCCCAGGCTGTTTCATAATGAATCACAACTGATCCCAAAGTGACCATTCTGCAAAACCCTGTTAGGAAATTAACTGCAGGCCAGAGAGTGGTACTAATCACACAACCAGGCAGGACCACAGCTGCCCAGCTTAGCTGTGCAGCTCTTTTCCTACTGAACAAACCAGTAAGTTCTTCCTACCGAGTGGAGCTTCTGGTAGAGGCCACACGCGTTGCATACATATCCACCATTTGCATTCTTCCGCCAGAGAGAGGTCTTTGTGGTCAGGCAATTGGCACAGAAAACACCCGAGCCTCTACGTCTCTGAAACAGGGAAGAAAAAGGGAAAAAAAGCAGGTCAGAGGTGAGTCACATGAGCTGTGGAGTTAGGACAAATCAACACAGGAGTTTTGTCTCTAGACTGGCAACAATGACAGTATAAAACCACACTGCCCATAATGAGGTCAGGTTCAATTGTGCTTAATAGGCACCACTGATTTTCATTATAATTAACCCCAGAGTGATGGATGAGGTGTGTGAAACACCAAAGCCTTTTCAGAATAACAACTTTAACTTTTTGAACTTCAGGTTTTGTGCATTTAATGATGGTTTCTAAACAGCAAATTCAGAAAAAAAAAACCAAAAACTTGGAAGCTGACAGAACATTCTGCAAACTCTCCTGGTTTCACAACAGATTATTTCTTTTTAGCTAGATTTATTTAAAAGTGTGATTGGTAACAAGAATTCTGAAACACCACCTAACAATTAATTACAGTTTATACCTGTCTCATACTAATTCCTTTAACAGATATTATATTTGAATACATGATACCGTATTTTCCACTTATTTCTGAAATCAGTATAAGCTACCATATATTCCTGCAGCCCATATGAACAAATAAAAGTACAATATTCTTGAATGAGACCTCTTCTGAACTCCAAAAGAAGTCCCAGAAAACACTGTCTCATCAACAGATAGATTTGTTTATTTATTTCATTTTAGTCAGGCGAAGAAGGGCATAGTAAAGCTTCCCCAAATACAAATTGATTTTAACCAGACTGAGCTGTGCATTCATCAGCTTTCATAATGATCCAGGAATATTTAAAAGTAGGCATGTTTATGAGTATTGCTCATTAAATTTTTTCTATGGAGTAATGATTTCATTAAACTTCTCATTTAAACAAAAGTCAGGCTGTGTTTATGGGCCCAAATACTAATAAGCAGGAAATGGAATTCTTTTGCTGAAAAGAAAATACGAATTTCAACTCCGTTCCCTTTTTGCAAAGGGAAAAAAGGATCAGTAAGAAAGCTTCACCAGCTAAGATAAGAATGAGTGAGTAGAGGGAAAAGAGTCTGGGTGAAAACTAATTTTATTATAAATTAAGAATTACTAACACTATAAGTAAAAATTTCAGGGTTTCAGAAAATTTAAGTAATTTATTTAACTTTAGTTCATACTGAAGAAGACTGGTGCTCATGCCAAAAAAATACAATGGTTATAATTGTACTCTGATACATTTCAAATGGAAAGCTTTCTGCAGACATAATTTTGGCTTCAAGACTGGAACACTTTCTTGGCATTGAAAGGGCATTTGATTCATCGGGTGTTTCACAATGTATCACTAAAAAGACCTGGTGAGCAGCCAGTTCCCTATAGGGTAATTTTTCCATCCAGATGCAAGTGCTATCAGAGGCCCTCGTCAGCTAAACTAATTATGATCTTGCATTTGCTGATGCCTGCTCACTCTAACGTTCGACATCCTCCATTAATCATCAATACAAGGAAAATGAATGAAACGTAAAGAAACGAGGGCTGGTAAGCTGCACAGCCATAAAAATCTGAAATGAGTGCAATAATTTAACAAGATTGGGGAAATGTTTTTAGTGAGCACAAAGTCAGGCTAACAATTGCCCTTTTAAACCAAGAACACAATTTCATTTGTAGAGCAGGTTGTGGTACTTTAAAGTGATACAATAAAATCAAGATTGTCATCAAGATAATCCCTCTCTCACGACCGTACATCATCCCCTATTTTGTCTCTTAAATCAGATGCAGTAGTATATGACATTTTTCCTCAGTGTAGCTAAGGAGAGAACTAGATGGTAGTTGATGTCCTTCAGCAAACATCTAACTAGTTCTGCATATAAGCCCTGGAAATGTGCGCTCATCTACACGTACATTGAAGGTCTCAATTCTTTTTGGGGCTGGATATCCTCGACCAGTTTCACCTGGCTGCTGAAATATTCTCCATCAGAGTACAATAAGAGCCTCACTAGACTAATCCCAACTTGGTCCACTTGGAGGGTGAGACGTTTCCAAGTGGAAATGACTTTATATGGCCAGGATTCAGCTACCACTGCAGAACTGTTCCTTTTCATTCCTACTTCTTGTATGCTGGTCTACAGTTTCTTAGTGTGGTGTATTAACCAAGTGGAGTCTTAATCTGAGTCAGTCTTTCCACTGTTTTATTTCTGTTTGTGTTCCCTGAGTTTGGGAAATACCCTCTACAAAGACATGGAAGACTATTAAAATATAGAGAGAGCAGTCTAGTTTGTATGCTGTATTTCTACACACTTGAAGGGGGACAGAAGGTAAAGTTACACAGAAATTTTCATTAAATGCAGTGGAGCTAGTATATCTATAGAACATTGACAAAAGCAACTAATTTTTTCTCTCTTTTCTAAAGAAAGATCTGATTCAAATTGGGTATTAGTTGCAGTGAAATCAGGCTATGACTACAGCTGACAAAAACCTGCAAAATACATAGCAGTAGCTGTTTGTATTGAAATTCTATACGTCTGCTTATTCACTACTTGCAAATATTTTTCTGTTTAAAATTTCAAGTAGTCCAGCTAAACATCCTTCCCTAGATTTAATGCAGTCTGAAAATTCCTCTTTTGAGCTGTTCTGTGCTGCACCTTATCTTACTTTACACTCTCTGATTTCTGTAGTATTTAAGGATCTTACAGGATAATCAACACTGATTATTTCAGTATTAAAGTGTTTCAACATAGCTTATATACACTAATAAATAAATAATTGAAACACCTCTGGAAAAACTTAAATGCTGCTACTTCGTTGAGCATTTTGGTTACAAAACAGCTATTTATAGTGGGGACACACAGCTTTAGAATGGATTTCCTGCCACAAAACAGGACTATGGCAGAATTGGACAAAAGATTCTTGAGTCTCCGATGCTACTAACCACAGAGTGGACCTGCCTGTCAAAATACACCTCAGAAGTTTTCATGTCTGCAATAAAAAAATTGGAGGGCTTTTTAAAAAGCCTACAATGTAGCAAACATATTATCTTAAACAAATAATGTTTCTTAAAAAGAAAACAAAAACCTAGGCCTTTACTTCTCATATACCAAGTTTTCTAAGTCATTGGTTAGCAGAAATTATTTAATTTTTTTTTTTTTTTTTGCTAAATGTTCATTAGCAATTCTGTTAGTGATGGTACCTCTGCATGGATCCGTTTGGCTTTGCATGCTCATCACTTGAACTCGTCAATAATATTGGCCAATATTGCTGCTTTTCTGGGTAGTCTTGCAAAGAAACAGGCACTTGAGCTCAAATCCAGCAAAGCCTGTGCTGCAGCTATGGCCCACAGCCCCCATAAAACCCAGCCATGGGCTCAAGTGCCCTGCCGAGCACCACCACTACCATTCTCAAGAAATATGCGAGGGAACTTTTGCTCCCATTCTAATGTGATCCTACCACAGTTAATTTCTTAAATCAGCATAGTAAATGTAGGTCAACATGACTAGTCATGAGAGAGTCTGAGCCACAGATAAAAAGATTTCAGTCTGTGATCAATGCCACTAGCACTGTCTGGAGTTATCAATGAAAATGTCATGTACATCCTTGGAAGAATAAGCCAAAAGGGTCTAAATAACTAAAATATGTATCTACTAAGTCAAGCTTTAATCATCTGGGGCCTTACAGCCACTACATTGCAATCTCAAATCCTGAAGGGGCCAGTGCAGAGAAAAGCCTGTCTCTATTTCCATTCCAGTTCCGAGGTCTGGGCGTTTAATATCACAGTTGTCTCAAATCACATTAGGCTGAAACTTGGCATTTGTTTTTGTCAGCCCAGATGTAACTTTTTTTTTTCTTCTTTCTTGGTACTGAAAACTTTATTTAAATCAGTTCAGCTGTTTATAATTTGGAGATTGGCCAAACTGGGGGGTGGGTGGAGAGGAGATTTCAAGTTTTTCAGAAAACCTTCTAACAAATCTACAGTCAGAGTGGCTTTGCTCTGGGGAAAATAAAATATGCACACATTTTAGTGTAGCAGTAGCAAAGGAACAAGTGGATTATTATTTTTATGTATCAAAGTTATAAAAATTTGTAATTATTCACTGAACATGTCTTGCAGACTTCTCTATTGACTGTTTTCCCTTGGTAAGAACCATGATGAAAGCATGTAATTGCATAACAACCCTTGATATGCAGAGTATTTACTCACATTTTTTATGGTTTCATATCTTGACCATTTCAAATTGAACAAGTCTGAAACTTGGTATATACAGCGTCAAACACCAATGCCTAATTTTTTTTTTAACTCCTTAGATTATTTTCACTAGTTACTAATACCTCACTGAAACAAGGCAATTATTAGTAGTCCATTTTGCTAAGCAATAAACCAGCAGAGAATATGATAACAAGTGATTCACTCAGGTGTCTTGCCAGGCTCTTCATAAAAACTGCTTTCGATTTAAAGGATTGACTCTACAGTTCATACAATTCCAGACTTTGTAGCAATGCAGAGGACTACTTATACTCTACATTATACAAAAATATTTCATAATATACTGAACTTTCAGGGTATTTTTCAGTGGAAGTTCATGTAGCAAAATATGTCTTGCAAGAGCACAGCCAAAAAACAGTGCTCAGGAACTGTGACTTTTTAGCTAGCTAGACAAAGCAATGGTGCCTGACACTCTGCTAGTGCCAAATACATCCTGTTTTTAAAATTTCTGCCAGAAGATGCTTTTAGAAACTCAAATAGGCTCCACAAGCAGCAGCCAAGGATTTTTGTTACATCACCCTCTTTGTTTTGGACTCAACAAAACTTGTCTTATTGCTGAATACTTTCACTTCCCCAACACGAAACAATGATATGATGAGGACTGAGTGGATTTTTTACCATCTCTGGCCTCTCTAATGTGCCAGAAACAGAGTACACTGTTAATCATGGCTCCAGAACATGAGGTGCAGTGAAATCATAAGTGTTGCCCAGGAATAAGCGTGTGGCTGACCTACTCCCAGCGATGAAGTTGGGGAGTACAACCATATATACCTCACTGAAAAAAGGCA